GAGAAGTCACAGCCCACTTGTGCGTCTACATTTCTGCGGAAAAACATATAAAATGATTTCGCGGCAAATTTCCTGAGTTTCGACGCACAATGTAGACAGCCGGAACACATCCAGGCCGACTTCTTCGTCTCTAATTTAGCCTTGTGCAGTTCTCCGACGTTGGCACACCGCCCACCGACTGCCTGCACAGATTTCGGAGAAAAATCTGTGAGTCAGCGGGTGCAGTCCCCCGTCCATCCTTTACAGGCAGGTCATAACTTCGGGCACCGATACCCAATTTGACAAAATTTGATTGGCTGCTTAGGCTGTAATTTTTTTCGCGTTTAAGTTACGCTGTGCTGGCCGAAGTCGTTGAGGATAGCACACACGGGGCACCGCAATGCATCGGAGATAAGTATCGGTTTATGACAAACCGAACAAGGTTTCTAGACACGCTGCGATTGTCATTTAAACGAGAAGTACCAAGTAAACGATATGATATATATCTATATATATATGGATATATGCTAACTCACGAAATGTCAACCGAAATTCCGAAATGCGTTTTCGTTTCAAAAAGGCTAATTAAGTAGTGTTCTAAAACTGGTCAGCCTGCAACATAATTCTATAATGTCTCAAGTACCTCAGGATGCCGGCTTTCAAAATAACTTCTTTCCGGCCGCGTACAAAAACTGCGCTCTGCAAAAAGCTACTTAGGTAGCATAAACTGTTCTCATTGATTTTCGATGACCTTAAAAGTCTAATTATATTTCATGGAAAACATGCATAAAATTATTCATTATTTAGCTCATTCAGTGGGAAATTACGTCTTTTTTCAATATGATACTCGAAGGAGGGACATATTTCGGTTTTAAAAATGTTTCTAAGTGTGGGCGTTTTAAATACCGTGAAATGGCCGTTCATAAATCGTCATGTCTCTGACTTTACCAATGTAGCTTGTAAAGTTAACAGTATGGATCAAATCCACTGCTAAATTTTATGAGCACTATATGGTCCCCCTTTATTACTGTAGAGAAATGTGTAGTTTTCCGTATGCGGAAAATATACGACTTGTAGTTTCAAAACCCTGAGCCCAAGTGTAACGGTAGAGCGGATTCAAAATTATTCAGGAGTTGGGAAAATTTTTGAAAACCGAATTGTATCCTTCCTTCGAGTATAAGATTGGAAGCAGACGTAAGTTGCTACCGAATGAGCAAAAGAATGAATATTTTTATTCATGCTTTCCATGAAATATAATTGGATTTTTAGAGGCATCGAAAATCAATGAAAAAAAAACCATACTTCTTATGTAATCATTTTTTACACGGTGTACTTTCGTATGCAACCGAAAGGAAGTTCTTTCGAAAGCCAGAATCCTGAGGTAACTGAATTATTATATAATTATGCTGCAGGCTGACTAGCTTTACAACCAAACCTAATTATTCTTTTCGAAACGGAAACGCATTTCGGAATTTCAGTTGACATTTCATGAGTTAGCCCACCTACTATATATATGTGTGCAGAAAATAGGAAGCTCAGTACACAGTAAAATGATTAATAATGCAAAGATAGATGAGAATTACCGCATGAGCGATGATCCGTCTGGATGTGGAGGTGATGCCAACGTGTCTGTTAAACGATAAATCGGAAATGCAGCGCTGGGAGCAGCTTCAGGGGAGAACCGAGGAGGCTGCCGACATGGGACGTGAGCGCGAGGAGAACTTTGATAGGAGTTGCGGAAAAGGAGTCTGCGGCTACTTTGAGGCAGTGCATCGGCTATTTTTACCGACACACGGCTACGCCATCCCCATCCTGGATCCGCGCCAAAAAGTGTTCACTTCACTTAAACAACCCAATCCACTTCGTGGGGAGCGTTACAGCCCCACTGCATGGGATGGCCCTGAAGCAAAATCCAGCATTCTGTCAGATGCGCGACTTTGTTGCATGCTAATCAGTGTCATGATCTCTCACCTAGGCGATTTCTTCCGCTGACAAGCTAATCAACTGATTTTTGTCAATGCTTAATGAGTTTCGACACATAGATTCCGGTTAGCCGCGGTATGGCTGAATCACTTTAGAGCTACGCCTACACAGCCACCGGAATGGTACCTAACACTAGGCATGTATCGATCGCGTTGCCGGAATTCTGCGTGAAACCTTAACTATTGACGCACGCGCGTGTGACACACGTGGACGAGGGACACGCCAGGAATCGCACCCATCATCTTTACTTCATCACTGGCGCGTGGGGGAGGAAAGCGAGAGTGAGGCCGTGCTTTCAGATATACAGTGCGTTACCTAACTAGTGAAATGTGTCGAAATGTACGCATGATTGCCAATCACTCGCAAACCGACACCATTTCATGAGTCCAATATTTATGTTAATTAATTAAAAGCTTAAATGAATTAAAAACCTAAAAGAAATATTAGAGGCAGTGTTGCGTTGTTTAGAAATGCTGATTTTTTAGAAAAGTGCAATATTCCGAAAACGTTAGAAATGGCTGTAAACTAGTAAACTTCGTTTTTAGATGTATGAAATGTATTTTCATACCACAAACCTAGTAAATCTGAAAGTACAAATTTAATAACTTCTAGTGATCGTGTTTTAGTGAAGTTTGCATCTAAATATCGTTTAATAAGTAGTGCGATTTCATATATGACGGTTTGTCAACTGCCTACATTCTGAGTGTTGGTTCCAAAACGTTTTTCCAGGGATTCGTGGTATTCTCGACTCTTGAGTTAAATTAGATGGGGTTCAACAATAGAAACTGGATTTTGTTCGATTTAACCGATGGGGACGTCTTAGGAACAAAAGTTTTCATAAGATGGCATGCCATGAAGCCAGTTGGTACCTAATAAATTTAAATAGAACCGACAGGCGTGATCGTAAACATACCATTTTGTGTTTGCAGAGAGAACTTTTCTTTCACTAAATTAATTTAAACGTTTCGTTCGCTTTGGATTATGCTGAGTTTCAGATCGACCTTGAAATATTGCTGAATACTTCATGATTTTCAGTGTTTTCATCCGATCGTCCATAACGATAGATTCTGAATTACCTGTCTGTTAAGAACTTTAAAATAAGATTATTCTTGGAGGCATTAACTGGATTAGTGAGTGCTCGGGCGCTCCTCTTCACGAAGAGGGTTTTGTCACATGTGAAGACTCATTCAAACATCAAACTTCATTTTCGAGAAAAATGATTGTCCACAACGGAAGTCAGCAACGAATATGCCTTCGGTCAATAAGAAAAATTTCATTAATAAGTTACCTCTTTGAGAAGTGCTGCACTCCGTTTACGGATCTCTGTGTAATTACCATTTTAAACGGTGAGGCCAAGTAAAAATTCGACGCTTTTGGCCGTTTCTTTCACGCTCCTAAACAGTGCTAATATTTTTCTACCGTAAACGTAAGAACATGCCTTTCTGTATACATTGAGGCCATTTTCACTGTTTTTTTTTGCTAGCTTTTAGACTCCGTTCTTCGATTTTGAATGCATGGCAGAGCGCCCGTATAAATACTAATATTTTGCCGAAACTATTAATGTTTTGTACGTTCTACTTCCGAATAAGGTATGCACAAAAGCTAAAATACACGACAAGTAATGTTTCAGCTGTTCAAAACTAGAAATGACCGTTCGGTGGTGGTCATTTACGTGACATCAGGTAGACTTTTCCAAACGGCAAAATAATTTCAGCCCATTTAAACGAGGGTGTCCCTATCTGCGTTATTACTGCACTTTAGGGCACTTAATCGCACAGATATGCTAATTTCAAAAATAGTTGAAATTAATGTTTCTACTTGTTCGATTAGAGACATTTCCATGCATGCAAAATGTTCATGGATGTTCACATGATTGGTATGACCGCTTAATCGGGCCTAAGTATTTCCGTCCCGTGTATTCCCGTTGACCGAAACTGACTAGATCTACAAGCCTAAGCATAGAGGCATGTTACTTGCCGCCCTTTGACTCCCATGTGGTCGCCCCAGAGGAATATCTGTGAGCGAGTTGAACGCTATAGCCAGAGCCGTTAGTGAGTAGAATTTCGCCTGGGCAGGTGTCGGTTATGATGCGTTGACAGAGAGAACCCACCGGAAAGCGGGCTTTTGGTTGAAGGAGAGCCTGGCTCAGATCACTTCATGGCTTGTATGACGAAAAACGGGAAAAAACGGCACGGGTGATTTCTCCATGAACGATCGGTGGGCACCTCCTACCATTTTATATTCCCGATCGCAACAGACAGGACAACGAGCCCGTGGCTCCGTGGTTAGAGGCGTTGGACTTCTAACTTATAGTTCGCGATTTCGAGCCTCGGGTGTTCCACACGTCGGGGTTGGGAATAACTGGCTGACGACGGCTAATAAGCCAGAAATGGCTATTCCAGCCTCCCTTGTCTTTGTTGGTAATGCTATTCAGGAAAAAACTGTTAAGATCAGACCTGGACATGGAGAGTTCAAAACAACTGGGGGCAAAGACAGGGTGAAGGACACCAATTAGCTGTCCATAGGCTGCGGATTGTGTCATATGGCAATGGTAGTAATGGCGGGGAGAGTTTACGGCTGGGGCAGCACGCGTGACAGTGAGTTGATGGAATGCTGGAAAACACAGAAAACGGTCGAGGGCAAAAACGATACTTTCGGGTAAAATGGGGAATATATGCAGATACGGCACCCAGGTGGTTATTCCATGGCTTTTCATTTCGAAGGAATGCCTGAGCATCGAGCAACTGAGAGCCTATGTTTTGGCGGACACTTCTGTTGTGCCTCAACCCATGTCCATTTTGTCACCGTTCTTCGTTTCTCCGCCCATAGATACAGCTTCCAGTCATTAGGTCTTAACCAGGTATCACAGGTACATGCATCAGCAGACGATCAACAATCAACCGACAGCTAATTGAGGCCCTTTAGCCTTCCATCAGCGACAGCTCGGACCCAAGCCTCGGAGAGGGCTTGGTATGCAATCTCAAGACGACCAGGACGGGGCATAACAGTCCGTCTACGCATGATCACCAAGACATGTACCAAGTTTATGCAGGAACGACTCGATAGGGGGTGCTCGTGCGTAGTCAGTTAAAATTCCCCTACTGGAGGACCTAAAATCTAAAACTCACCACCGTTCAACACTAGTTGACTGAGTAGGTAGTCAGTAGGGATAAAACAACGGAGCTTTATTCAAAGGGTAGTGTAGAAAAAAGTCGAGGGCTCGAGATTGGTGCTACTGTATTTCATTAAGAATTTCGAAGTTTTTTACCAAAAATAGTTAACATTGCTTATTCTTATTGTTCGATTTGGGACATCTTCATACCTTTTAACTGCATGCCGTTCTTCTTATCATTGGTATGACCGCTTGGTCGGGCTAAAATATTTCCGCCCAATGCATTCCAGTTGGCTAAAATTCTATCCATAGTTTTAAGTATAGATATATGTTGCCTGCACTCCTTTTGTTTCCATGTGGACTGATAACTTTGTCCCTTACAGGCTGGTCAGACAGCCATTAAAGCGGACTTGACCGTCAGAACTTAAAATTATTTTAAAAAGGAACAATCTGCCGCATTTTCTTTGCGATTTTTAATTTCCACACCTTTAGCAAATACCCACAGAGCTGGTTCGCTGCGTCAGTGTACACTCATCGGCTGTCCACGCTTAGTCAGTCCTAGGACCAAACTCTCACCATTTCACTCGGCTGATGATTCTCCGGGTCAAGCCGGGAACGCTGGACAAACTTCGGCCGGCAATCACCAGTGAAACCCGCGTTGTCTGATGACGAAGTTCTGTGCTCTGATTCTGACTCATTTCACAGAGTGTGCACACTTGGGGTCCGCTGTGCCAGTGTGGAGGTGCTGGTCATCAACAGTCAGGTTTATTACCAGCAGGAGGAGGGATAGGTGCTTTTTCTTCGTGAGAGAGTGGTTCAGTGTAACACTTTCCTAGCGATCAGCGATGACTGGGCCGCAGTTGTACGTTCCTGTCGACCCGTCGATGATTCATTGCCCCCTGCTGGATGAGACTGATGATATTACAGAATGTCTGTCGGCCCTGCTAGCGGTTTTGACAATGTCTGCGCGACGTCCGCTCTTCTTCTCGACTTGAGGCCCGTTTGCTGAAAAGAAAATGACATACCCATTTGTTGGCATTTGCAACAAATTCATATTGACTCAACTGTGAAAACTTGGCGCCTCGGTGGGATTCGAAACCACGCAGTAAGGGGAAGGCTTTAGTACAGACGACGCTCTAACCACTTGAGCTAGGAGGCCCCGCCGGACGAAGCGAGTTTAATTACATTTGCGCCAAGTTACCCGCCCAACCTACCGCAACGTCTGGAATCCACCAAATCTGATACAGTAAATTGACAGCCCAAGCAGGATTTCA